CTGGCAAACCTAACCAACTTACAAACACTGCAACTGGTCGGTTTTCGGGATGATTACTCTTACATTTCACCTCTTGTTTTTGAGGACGTCGTATTTTCTCATCTTCATAAGTTGGAAATAATTCAAGGTGGATCCCTGCTCGAAGCTCTTTTGACTCCCCTGTTGCCTGCATGCCCAAAGCTCAAACATCTGAACGTCCAAGAAAATATTTTGACAGACGAACTACTGGATAACATTCGATTTTGTAAGTACTTGGAGTACCTTGACATTTCGAGGAACTCCTGCTTGACTGATGCCTTCATATCAAACATTGCTCGTTCATGTACAAACTTGAAGTTTCTCGATATTTCCTCCTGTATCGGGATTTCTGAGAACTTCATACACTTGTTGAACACTTGTCGTAACCTGGAGACCTTGAGAATTGAAGGCAAGCATTATTCTGGCCTATCATTCAGGCTAATACCATTGCTGTTACCTAATTTAAAGGAATTTTATGTGAAGCACTTTTATAATTCCTATATTCTGGACGATCTAGTGTCAAAAATGCCTACGCTCAGAGTACTGAAATGCAATGAACATCCAGATGAATGCTACTACGACGACAGCGACTGAGTTACTGTCAGATTCTGAGACATGGTTTCTCCCATAAACACAACTGCCAGTTGAACACTATTAATATGATACCACTACGGTTATGTGATGTTTTTGTAATAAGGTCATATATGTTACCTGTTATTAATATGTATGTTAATGTCGGTACTGACAAACTTACTTTATAGCGAATAGAGTTATGTACTCGAATCACACATTACATGTGTCTTCAATTATCTTGGAGAATATTTGTAACGAAATTATTTTAGTATTTTACATAGTAAGTTCGCTTATATGAACTATAATAAAAATAAAACATGTTTGTGTGTGTTTATATAATTTATAAAGAAATATTTAAACCTAACTATGCCAGTTAGTAGTGAAAATTCCGATTTTAATCGAAAATCTACGAATTGTTCAAATTAAAACAAATAATCTCCTCATGTCTCGTGATTTTATATTTGTTACATAGATTACATCAACAACAATGTTAATCAATGTGAAGACCGAATGAATACATTTACACTGCTGGTACACTAAGCCATAAACACATATTAACTTTGGCTTCTTTTTTAAAATTTAAATATGAAAATTAGAAATGTATATAAAATGTTGAAATTTGTTGTAATATGTATACATATAACGTAATTTTCTCCAGATTGTTGAACCAATTTTGGTTGTGTTCGAAAAATGTACCATGAGATTCACACTTTTTGGCGCATGTAAGATGTATGTATATTTTTAAAATGTTAATATAAAGAATACCATTCTTATTATTATTATTATTATTATTAATGAATTAAATACGGTGTTCTGTGTTATCTTGTGTAAAAGAAATATATTATGCCAACTCTGAGAGGTTATCTGAATGTAGTGAATAAAAATAATGTTACATTTATGGTAAATTTCGTTGAGGGAATAGACTGCAATACATTATGAAAACCAGTGTTTTTCCTGGTGTGTTGAACTTGGATAAATAATTTTGTTGTAGTGGTGCGACCGTT